GTATTATAACCGGGGAGCCAACCTCCGGCACTTCAATATCGGGGACTTGGCTTTAAGAAAGGTGACATTGAACACCCGAAACCCGAATGAAGGGAAACTGGGACTGAATTGGGAAGGTCCATATCGAATTATCGAGATTACCGATAAAGGTTTGTACAAACTCGAAGCAAGGAACAGTGAGCGGCTAACGAACAACTGGAACATGACCCACTTAAAACGATACTACTGCTAAGGTACGACCCTATTCATTCTTTCTTGATATATATTGTGAATTGGACTAACACTTACAGGCAACAGCCAAAGGATGATGCAGTTGTTAGGCCTGAAAGCATGTATTGCACTCTTTTTTCCTTGAACCGATTTTGTCCCAAATGGGTTTTCTGACAAGGTTTTTACGAGGCAACAATGGATCGTGCTAACTTAGTTACGAAGACCGATTTTGAATCAGAATCGATGGTCGCATCAACAATATCCGAGCCCTCTCAAAGATCGACCTCGAATACTGGGGGTCATCACCCTCGGGTCATGATTTTTAGTAAGGAAGGAAACTTTATGCTTAAACAATTCTAGGCTCTGGTTAGGATTTATTGTAAGGGGCCAAACGATCAAATGAACCGTGCCCACGTAGAAATGCCTAAGTCACAACACGAAGCTTTTCACACTTACAATCTTGTATATACGTATAGGAATGAAAGAAAGTTTCTACCTTGCTGATACATATTTTTTTCCCTCAAGACTATTACACTTTGTTCCTTAATGATATCAGCCCAAGGGTCGTCTCTATCCGGATCTAACAGATCACCCCCACTCAGGGACTGTTATCCTAGACGAACTCGGACGGCTTGGGCTATCGAAGCCCGGAGGTACAAAGCCTATTAGGCAGTACCTGAACTTAAAAGGCTACGGTCACCCTAGAAACGGCTCGGAGACGTCCGAGGCCCATAATCAAAACATAAGACCTTCAAAATTCCAAATCGGTTCAAAGGTTCTCCTCAACAAAATTATAGTCTAAAAGCATCTGAACAAGCACTTTGGGGAAAGCTTCCGGTCATACCGAACCCCCACAAGCTTCAAGCAAAATTTACATCGAGAACAAGTCTTGTTCGAACCTCCCAATAAAAACTTATTACTAGGTTTTATTCCGTACTAAGGCATTTGAAATCTTTGCAACTATAAAGAGGATGCCAAAAGTAATAGACTCGAAAATAGCCAAAAGGGAAAAAAGCCTTATATACATTCCAAAAAAGTCTTTACAAAGGCCAACGAGAATGGCCTCAACAAAATAAATGTACAAAGTGCAAAAATAAAGAAAAATTCCTAAGGCACCTACGCCTGATCTTCACCAGAACCTGCCTTCCTCGCCCTCGAGTTCAGCCATCTTCCTGGCCTCGGCCTCGAGCCTTTTCGCCTCTTCAATCTCGGTTGACAGGTCAAAACCTCGAGCATGGATCTCCTCTAGGGTCTCCCTTCGAGACAACCGCTTCACATACTCAACAGTAACTTTCAGGAGGGCCTCGACTACCTCAACATCAGCCCTATACTAGGTCACCATCTCTTCAGCATCAGCCCTGGTTATTTTCGACACGGATCTTGCTATTTTGAGCTCCTTGCCAAGGGCATCCCGTTCAGCAATGGCCGAGCCCAGTCAAGACTGAAGGTCTTCAATTTGTCGAGCCCGTGCTTAGGCCTTCTCTTTCGCCACTCGGAGTTGGACCTTTACCGATGCCAGCTGCTCCCGGGCGGTCTCCTTCTCTGAAGCTAGCCGGTCCATTTTTTCCTTCCAGACATCGGCCATGGCCTGGACCTTGTTCATTTCATCCCGGAGTTGGTCGATCCGTTTAATCTTCTACTAAACCTGCGAGGTTTGGTCGTTAGTCTCAATGGCTAAGTCGTCATTTTTTACTTGTTCCACCAAGTCGGCATTGTCCTTCTGAGCAGCATCCAACTCGGCACAGAGACTCTTGACGACACCTTCGTGCTGCTCGCTAAAAAGCTTATACATGTCTCTCTTTTCAGCGAGCTCCCTGGACTCGGCCTCGAGCTGGTTAACCTCAGTCTGATACCGAAGAAAACTTTCATGATGGAGTACCGAGGCCTGCAAAAAGATAAAAGGAAAAAGTCATGAGTAAAAGAACTAAGTCAGAGGATGAAAGAGCGTAACAATGCCTTACCCGTTCAGTGCCTTTTGCCCTCGTTGAACAAGAACGACACGTCCACCTCATTCATTTTCGCCTGGTCTTCTTTGGTTACCGGGCACCAGAGGTAGGTCATTACTCCAATAGGAGCAGAAAGAACCCGGGCATCATCCGGGGCGGTGATAACTATTGACCTCTTACGGTTGGGATCCATGCTTGGGGCGGGGAACTGGTTGATTAATTTAGGGCTCGAGTTCTGTGCGCAGGCCTCTGAAGAGGGATCTTTCCTCTGCACCTCCAAGTCGCCCAACCCGGAGAAGTCTTCTAGAGCTGTCGAGTCCACACCTTCAAAAAAAGAACGAAGGGGGTCATCATACTGTCGGCCCCTTCGTTGGATCGCTCCTTCACCATTTGGGCTTCATCAAACATGGACACGGTGAATGAAGGTGACCCAAAAATCTCTATGACACCAGGATGAGCGGAGCCGGCGTCGTGAAAGGCGTCAGCCCTTATCTCTACATCAGCCTCCCGAACCTGAGGATGATCGACCTCCATTGTTTCTCCCTAGGTTGTCGCTCGCTCTTCGAGGAAGGTCGGTTCATGGGCCACAAGAATATCATCCTCCTCGGGCCCATCCTTGAGCCAAAAGCGAGTTCGAGTCGGGTGCTCGAGAGCTAGAACTCTCCTTTGGCTTACGGGCCAACCTTCTCCTTGGCTTCTTCTTCTCTGAGCTCGGGGAACCCAGAGCCTTTCTTTTCTTCTTCTCTCCTACTGCAGCCCCGAGCTGCCCCAAAGTGGAGGGATCAACGGACAAGTCATTGTCCCCTAGTAGAGGCCTAAGCTCAATGGTCTTAGGCAAGCCTGCGAAAAGAAAAGAAAGTAAATGAGAATGTGATGCTAAAAAGGAAGCCTAATGTTACTTATAGCCCGTTTGGCCAAGCTTCTAAAATCAGCTTATTTTGAGAAGTGCTTTTCTCAAAAGTACTTTTAAAAAAAGTGTTTTTGGTGAGAAGTAGTTTGTGTTTGGCTAATTAATCAGAAAAGCACTTTTGAGCAGTAATTAGTGTTTCGCCAAGCTTTTGAAAACTGCTTCTAAGTATATTTTTCTCAAAAGTGCTTCTTAGAAAAGTGCTTTTGGAGAGAAGCTACTTTTTTCTGCTTCTCTAAAACTGCTTCCGCTTCTCCTCAAAAGCACTTTTTTCCCTTCCAAAATCTTGGCCAAACACCTTAATTTTTGGTCAAAAGTGCTTTTGGCCAAAAAAGCACTTTTGGCCCAAAAAAAAGCTTGGCCAAATAGGCTATTATTCGGGAAACAGATCTTACCGTGAGAACGGGCCTCCCGATGGCCCTTCGAAAGTTCATGCCATACGCGCTCAGAATAAGGCATCTGCGAACAACTGCCCTCGATCTACTCCTTGAGTCGAGGAATGTCGTTTGCGACTCGAGCAACAACTGCACCACTGCAAATATTGGTGAAGAAAAAGGAGATGAACGTAAAATCGATATTTAAAGGAAAGTTGTGCTTACGTGATACATTCCACTTCTCGGGGAATGGCCTAAACTCGGCAGGGATCAAGTCTGCGGTCCTCACCCTGACGAAGCGTCCCTGCCAGCCCCGATCCCGGTCCTCATCGATGCTTGAGAATGGGGCTTTGTTATCCCAGCGTACGAGCTTTATCAGTCCCCCTCGGAAGATTCAGGGACTGTACGTGCGGAGCAGATGATCGATGGTGAACCGACATGAGTCGATTTTGTTCACGAAGTATCAAAGGAGAATTACGATCCTCCACGGCGACGGGTGGATCTGACAGAGGCATACTTCATACCTCTTATAGAAATCCAGAATAACTAGGTCTACCGGACTTAGTGTGAAGGGATAAGTGTAAACACTCAGATACCCCTCCGCATGGGTAGTGATGGCGTCCTCGGGCCCGGAGATTACTATGTACTTATCCGCCCAGCCGCAGTCCTTTCGAACCGCAGAAAGGACGTCTTCGGTGATGGAGCATATGTATCTAGATACCACCTCACACTGGCCCTGCACCGATGATGTCCTTTCAGCCTTAAAATCATCCGCGATCGAGCATTCCCTGGGACGAACATTTTCAAGGGAGGCTCGGCAGTCGATTCATAGGTAGCTACGCAGGGGGCGAATCTCTCCAGGACGACCACATCGGGAGCGGTCTCCTCGACTTCGGCGGTCGGTTGTAAAGAAGAGGAAGTGACTTTTTGCAGAACAGTTTTGGAAGTTTTAGCCATTGTTATCTGGGAAAAAGCTTGAAAAATATGAAGAAAGGTTGAAAGACGAAAGGTCAAGTGCGTTGGATTGGGTGGAAAATGAGTAAAAACTTGTAACTTATTGAGAAATCTTGAAGAACGGAAGTAAAAATATTGGAGTATGAAAAAGGAACCAAATGACTCCCAGATTATGTAATATTAGTAATTATTGTTCACCCTAGTAAAAGTTTTACATTATAATCTTTACATAACTTATTAATGTGCTATTTGCACATCATGCCTCTTTACAATTTTGAATTTTAAAAAAAAGATCTTTTTAGATCTCTTATGTGTAAAAGACAAATCTCTTACGTATAAAAGTAAATCTCTCATGTATAAAAAAAGAGATAGGGGTCATAAAACTAAAAACAAGTTTGTAAAGAGCCAAAAAACTAGTCAATTGGTTTTGTGGCCACAAAATTATTTTAAGTTTATGACCCCATTTTTTTTTATACGTGGGAGATTTGCTTTTACACATGAGAGACTTAAATGCAACATTGTAAAAAGCCATGAAGGCCTAAAAATGAACCTGGTACATTTTTTTATTCTAAAATAAAACTTAAATAGAAGAAAGCAAAATGGGTCTCAAATTGAAATGTCGTTTGGTAAAAGGACCTGTACGTCAAGTCTGAAAAAATTCCCTTTTCTTTTCAATTGAAAAATACCTCCGATTTGCCCACTCTCTCACTCGCAATGATTGCGTTCTTCTGATTCTTCCCAATTTCACAAATTTGCATCTCTAAGATTCTCTAATTTATTTTAATAATCCCTCAGATTCTCCCAATTTCTGAATGTCCAGAATCTGATTTTTGTCATGAGGAAAAAACTCGACACTCGCTTCCCTGCGGTGAGCTGCTTTACTTTTTTACTCTTTCCTCTCTTATGCTTTTGTTTTTCCTTTTATTTTACTTATATTCGCCTTGATCTGCCTATGAGCTCTGCTAATTTCAACGAATCTGGTATTTTATGAGCTGTTTAGCTGGACCTATTTTGCTTAGTGGGTCGGTTTCTAGGGTTGTTGCTTAATGGATAACTTGAATTTTGACTTCACTTGTACTGTGGCTCGTCATAAAATTCACATTGAAATTATTATATGGTAACTTCAAATTGAAATTTTGAGCCTCTTTAGGGACATGGGAATTTTGGTTGAACTAGTAGTCAGCCTTGCCTAAAGCTTAGTGTAGCCAAAGAAAAGTATAAGAGAGCTAGGATTTTGTATCGTGGGTCAAAGTAATTGCTTCCATTTTTTGGTGAATTAAAGAAAATTATTTTGCTGCTAGTCTTACTGGTTTAATACTTACTCTTACTTTATGTAACTATGCTTTTCAGAGATTTATGCATCAGTAGATAATATAATGAACTTCTAGTAATTTTGTATTTATTATAGTATTATTATTTATTTTGGATAATATTCGTCTATGATGAGTTTATACTGAGTATGGTTGCCGACTCCAACTTGTTTGGGACTCAGGCGTGGTAGTAGTAGTTGCCCTTGTTGTATTGTGGTATTTGAAATGACTTAAGTGAGGCAGTACAGTGATGTGGCATGTCACTGTGGTAGTCAACTTGGATTATTATTGGATACACAAAGACAAACAGCAAGTTACATTTGTTGCGTATTGTTTTACAGTGTAATATCTTGGAAAGCATTTGGAACTCTTTCACCTTATATTAATACTTTCTGCTTTGGTGGTTAAAGAGTATCTATAACTATGGAAAGAGAAGGAAGTTTCATGAGCATTGTCTTTGAAGTTGTAAACCTGTTAATCTTAACTAGTGCAGGCCAACCATTAAAAGCTAACTCATTCAACCTTGTTTGAAACTGTTGTGGACATTGAGGCCTTATCTCAAAGAAGTAACAGTTGGGATGCGCCATGAAAAACACACCTAGTGCACGGCTGCACGCGTGCAATGGCCTCATAATGATGGCTGTGGTAGCATTGTTCTGGCAGCCAACGAAGGGGAAAAGAGTTCTATATTGCAGAGGTGGCATTTTTACCACGAGGGAAGATTACCTCAAATCAATCATATCAAGTGTGCTAACCTCCTAATCACTGTTCTGAAATGGCACTACCACAGCCAACTATTTGTCTTATTCTTTGTTTTTTTTTGGAGTTTTGTGAAGACACACTAAGTACAGTTTTCTGTCCGAATTACTTAGGTAACAGATGGTGATATTATCACTTTGTCATAGAAAAGAAGGGGTGGATTATCATTGTGACAGCCTGTCAGCCCATAGCAGGTGCATTTTGCGACAAGAAGTGGGATCTCTCTCTTATCTGTGTTAAATGACCTTATATTAAAAAAAACACTGTGTTAAATGAACAATATGCTGGTGCCTCTCTAGGATCTGAGTTACTACATTTCTGATAAGTAGGGTCTCTGTTTGAATGAATAACTTTTCCTTCGATTAAGAAAGAAAAGGACGGACTTAGAGGATTAACAGGGAAAACACATAGAAGAACGCCTAATCAGTTTCAAGTCTTTTTTATTTGTTATCATTGATGTTCTTATTGTTATCGTCATCATTATTAATTGCTTCTCAGCTTTTAGTACTATCAAATGTGGAATATCTGAGATATCTCCTTTTTTTCATGAAAAACGTTTAGGCCCGGATCAAGAAGATTATGCAAGCTGATGAGGATGTTGGCAAGATTGCAATGGCAGTGCCTGTTCTAGTGTGTGAGTCTCATAAAATGTTTTTCTTTCGTCAATTTACTCGTTGTTATCTTTTTCTAACCCTTCCTCCCCTGGCAATTAATGCAGCAAAAGCCTTGGAGTTATTCTTACAAGACCTTTGTGATCGGACATATGACATAACTCTTAGAAGAGGAGCAAAGACTGTTAATTCACTGCATTTGTGAGTGGCATTTTGAAAATCTCCATTCATCTGTATAGATCAGATCTGGCAGCTAATAGCCTAATGAGGAGCCATTATCTATTCAATCTCCTCACTGATTTCTGATCTGGTTAATTTGTTGTTATGTTTGATAACTTAATCCTGATAATCAGCTTGACTGTGTTGAGTAGTTGCTTCAGACTTGTGCTTATCTGGCTCAGGCCTCCCGATTCTCATGTAATTTTTTGTAATTATATTGCATAGATGAAACACAAAAGCTTTAGGGCTTTTACTAGGAAGGTAGTAAGATTTTCGGGAAAACACTTGCCTTGTGTAGGTCTGCTAGTCCACCTTTTTCTAATGGAACACATTTGATGAATTTATTTCTGCAGAGTGCTTCATCTCGAGGACCCTAGTCTTTATAGTTGTGTGGTACTTCTGGTAAAAACCTGTTCCAGTCTTTTTGATTTTCCCCCCTGAAATTATCTGATATTGTAGTACTAATTTTTCTCATCTGTTTCTGTCATTGGAAACTTGTTTGGCTAAATGGTTGAATTGCTCTTCATTTCTAACATGCTCTCTCCAAGTGTGTCATTTTCTACTGCAAGCCAACTGAGATGGATCTAGAAATCATGGCTTCTTTTTGACATTAGTGGAGTATCATAGCTTCCTCTTAACGTGGTGCAGTATCTTATGTCTGAAACAATCCGAGCTACCTGCCCAAAACCTTATGGCAATAGATGGAGTGGTCTAGGACATTGTAAACACTTGTGGAAACACTTAGATAACCGATGAGGAACGAGTTTATTCTCCAACCAGCATGTGGGACCCATTTCTAGGGTTTAGACATGGATTGAAGACTTTCTTTTTATCCAACCATTGCCATAAGGTTTTGGGTTGGATGCTCAGATTCTTTCACATGGAATCAGAGCATCCAACTCAAAACCTTAAGACAATGGTGGAGTGGCCCAAGACATTATAAACTCCTTTGTAAACCCTTGCGCAACCAATGAGGGATAAGTGCATTCTCTAACAGTATGACATAAGTTAGTGATTGTCTCCCACTTCAGCTGTGCACTTCAAACCAGCTGGCAGCTGTAATGGACTTGCTTCCTGAGTGTTCCTTGAAGACTAGCTGCTGCAACATGAAGCAAATAGTCTTCAACATTACTAATAGACCTTGGAATTTTCTGATAAATTGAAAATAGTACTCTAAAGAATGTTATGGATAGAATTTAGAATCCAATGCATTTCACAGATCCTCTTTTGTTGTTCATGGCATCTTTAAGTGTGCGTCAGCTAATGCATCATTTTTTTCTTCTCCAATGTGCTGAAAGATCTCTCTCCTACTACTGGAACACGTCTTTCCGTGCAGGTTAAGTAGGATGATGCTGCCTTTCTCACTCACTTGTCAATTCGGAAATGATGGGCTTGTTGGTTCATTTATCCTATTACATCCATACTGATTGCATCTAACATCTGTTTGTAGAAAGCATTGTGTACAAAGCTACAACGTGTTTGACTTTCTTCGGGAAGTTGTCAGCAAGGTTCCTGATTATGGCCATTCTGATGCTGCCGGTGAAATGCCAAAAAGAAGGTTAAGGATCATTTCTTGTTTGTCCTATAACATTTAAGTTAGTAGTTTTTCTTCAATTCAGTTGATTATTCCACTTACACATCTAAGGTGACAAACTTTGCAAATCATATACTGTTTTATCAGGAAAGTTGCAATGGAAGAACATCATGACAGTGAAGATGAGTTCAAAAGGAGCAGGACGGTGAGAAACCCTTTGTTGACTCGTCTAGTTTAGATTCCTCGTAATTTCTCAGATTGAAAACTGAAAAAGTACTTATTTGTTGTAAAGCATTTAATTATTGCTTTTAAAAGAGCATTTAGTTCTCCCAAAGAATAAAAATGCTCTGAATGTGGTAATAGTAGGAACAAGTAATTGCTGATGATCTCATTTTGTTGAGATGAAGTTTTCACGGGACAAACTGATTTAGCTCAAGAAAACATTGTACTATCAATATCTTTGATTCTTTTTTTATTTAGAAATAATGTTTTATCCATTAGTTAGTGATAACTGATAACCTTATTTTTTATTTAAAGATAAGGTTTTAGTATATTCTTATATCTCTTTTAGTTAGAGATAAAAAGTTCTAGTAGTGTCACAAGTTCTAATTTGTTCAGACTCCAGGACCCTTAATTACTTTGCTTCGGACCACACTTGATGGATAACATTTTTTTTTATAATGGTGGTGTCCAGGGCTAGTTTGTGCGTACCTTGATTACGCCACCCCGTACTTGCATTTTCTCAACTACCGTGTAACTCTGTCACAGAGGCTTAGGAAAATGAGAATTAATAACACTTTATGGGTTGATCTATCTCTCTATGTCCCTTCATTTATGCTTATCTTGTTTTTCGTCTTTCTCTCCTGTCCGCTTCTTCTTCCTCCCCTTTTTTCTGTCTTTCTTTCTCTTTGTTTCTTCTCTTTCTCCCTCTTCTCTCCTTTCCCCTTACTGTCTCTCTTCTCTCTTTTTGGCGCTACATCAATTTGGTAAACTCTTTGTTTTCCCCTTTTTGGTACTACATCAATCTTGGTCAGAGAGTATATTCATAGTTCTAAATCATCACACTTTGCTGCAATTCCATCAATTAGTAAATATGTATCACCCTATCTCCCCCAATAACTCAATCTGCAATAGTTAGCCGGCCTCTTTTCATCATTCAATCAGAAAAGTTACTTGGCCCCTCCTTTTATTATGGAAGTTGGAGACAACAATTGTGGTTCTGCAAGACACCATTATGAGTGGGAGTTGAATCCATTCTAAGTTAATCATTTGCATAAAATTCTTAGAAGGATGGACATCAACTGTTATATGATGTTACCTTTGACCATCTTATGGGTTTCATTATATGAATCGAGATTTTATTTAGAGTTGCACCAACACTTTCACTCATTGCTGTTGAGTTTTCTCCAAGAGAGTGTTGTATCTTAAATAAGGTTGCACTCATTATTTTTTTAATTTTAATCTGTTAAAGATTTATATGTAAATAGAATATGAAAATAACTTAGTGTTAGATAATTATGGAATATTGGAATGAAGTTGGTCTAAATGGAGCAAAACAGATAATGAGGATTCATGTCACTGACCCAACTACCTTGAGGTGTAGTGTTGTTATTGTTCTCTGAGTTAGTTAGGGTTTTTATATGGCATAGTTGAATTCGGAGGAAGATGTAATGCCATAAGGCAACGTCGCATATCATAAGTTGGGTGTTTTCTATATAATGCGATAGCATAATCATTTGTGGTTGTCATGAGAGTTGTGAATGCATATTTTCTAACATAATCAACTTACAGTGTACAGTGATCACTTTATATTTTCTGTTATCAAGTCATGACATGAATGGCATTTTTTTCCTGCAGGAGACGTGTCATGCTAGCAGTAGCGGTAGGGGAAGAGGTAGGGGTAGAGGAAGAGGTCGTGGTCGAGGGCGTGCTGATAGGGAGCTCTCACGGCCTGATATGCAACTTGAATCCTGCACATCTCTTCAGCAGAGTGGTCAGCAAAATCCAAACCCTGGAACTCAGACAGAGAGCTGCGCAGAACCGAAGGGATCACCTAAACAGGATTCCATTGCTTGTGACAGGGAAAGTTCAGTTATAACAACTCCTAATCTGAAGGTCAACGTAGATGAAAGCGTTGATAAATCAGCTGCACCAGATATAGCAGCCTGCAATGCATCGCCAAGGCCTGCCAATGAGAAAGTGGAGGAAGGCCCCCAATGGTCTCTCGAGATGGAGAGAATGGTTATCGACCCTACCCATATGTCACACCTGAATTCAAGTTTGGCGGAGGAGGAAGAAGATTATGATGAAGAGTAGACAGATAAAATAACAAACAAATGGCCTATTCGGCATATGCTATTTATTTGGTAGCAAGTTCCTATGGGCCCTAACATAAAGGGCATGAATCCCTCTGCCTCCCTTTGTGATTTGTTGCAGTATATGTATTTCTTAGTTGTCTTTGCGACTCCAGTCTTGTAATGGTCTCTAACCGTTTCCTCTTTCCAGTAAAAATAAGTAGGAAATGTGTGTTGCTCCAACCAGCACTCCATGTACCAGTTACTGTATGAAATAGCGAGGGAGAACTAGTTTGTATCTTTATTCGATTTACATAATATTAGTCCTTGACTTCTGCTGAAAATGGGTGCCATAAAATTTTCGAAAACTAGAAGGGGTTAAAGTGCCACTTGAATTGCCCTTACTACTTTCGTAATGCCTACTCCAGCATGCATAATATCAAAGTTATGCTGGTCTCTTGTTCTACACACATTTTGAAACTTAACTTTAACCATCCTGCTGGTTACTCTTCTCTTATTTTGAATCTTTTTATCAGCTTAAAGAAAAACAAACTGGAATTCCATTTTGATGATGGATCGGTCTATTGTGAGTTTCTTATTAACATTCAGAAACCCTCTTCCTTGATGTCAAAAGATTTATAGCTGTCATTTAACTAGGCAAATCCTAAAGTGAAACTACCAGCTATGTCCATTTATAAGAAGTTTATTACAAAAAATTAGCCAATTTATAAAATATTACTAATATTAGCCAAGTGTTACCAATATTAGCCAATTAGCTTTTTGTAGCAAAAAAAGGTCAAATTTTTGTTTTCTTTTGAGTGGGTGTTATTATAACTGGGTACATATTAAGGAGTTTGAATCTCAGTTTTGGGATGATTTGGTAGAGTTTTGAGGTTGTTTGAATTGAAAATTCGAGGTAGAAGATGAACATGGAAAATAATTATATGTATCACACTGTGTATCATTTATGCATCACATGTATCATATTTGTATCAAATATGTATCACGTGTATATTCATATATACCTGTGTGTGTGATACTTGCCTGATACATGTTTGATACATGTGTCGCAGAAGAACTTTTTGAATTCGATTTTAACTGCGAATTTTGATACCAAATCAATCCAAATCACCTTTAATATATTGCTTAGATTTTTGGAATCTCGTATATATATTTTTTTGTATTTCATCACCTTGTTTGCTACCTCATCCATAAAATTTCCCCTTGCATCTAATGTTGCTGATCATGCTTAAAAATATGGAAGGAGATTTTTGCGTGTGATTCTCGGAGAGAGAGAACCTTGTTTATTTGGGTTTTTAATTTTTATATGCGCTTGGCTAGTTTTGGTAAGATCTATGATTAATGGCTAAAGGTTGGTAAGTTGTGACTTATTTGGGACATTTCTGTAAGATTCCCAATCCTAAACGGTCCAGTCAAAAGTGATCAGTATACTGTATACTATACTAAGAAGTACTCCCTCCGTTTCAATTTATGTGAATTCATTTCCTTTTTAGTCCGTGCTAAAAAAAATGACTCATTTCTATATTTGAAAATAATTTACCCTTTTAAAGTGATTTATAGCCACACAATGTGCCTCATTTTACACAAGTTCAAAAGTCTTTTCTTTTTTTCATAAACTGCATGCCTAGTCAAATAGGTACACATAAAATGAAATGGATGGAGTATGATTTATTATAACAAGACGCCTAGCAATACTACACTTGGTCAACAGTACATAACTCTCTTTCCCAATAAGATATAAACATTTAAATTGGGATAAAAGAAGGTATATATATAACAGACAGAAAGCATGATATTTTTTTTTTTACAGTAGCTCCTCTTTTCTTTTACTTTTTTTTCCCGGTTAAGGGTCTGATTTGCCCTTCTACTATTATAAATAGGCCTTATGCGTTTGATTTTCTTATAAAAAATATCCCCACTGTTATACATTAGTTGCACATTTATCTCTTACCCGTTAAAAGCACCTTCCCAGATTTTTAAGGAGCACGTGGCATCCTCTTATTGGACCAACTGATCCGCCCCAACTTTTAATTAAAACCCGCCCGACCCAACCAATAAACTTAGACCCATCGGTAAAATTTAGTCCATTTTCCCATCGAGCTTTTCATTTCCCTCAGAAAGAAAATACATAAGGTTCATCGCACCCCAATTACAATCAATTCATTCCACATGCTTTATTCTACAACTGCAGTTAAAGGTAATTGATTTCTTCAAGTAACTGTTTGTTTAAGCTGTTATATGTATTTTCTTGCTTATATTTGCCGCGAATTAGTCACTTTAGGGATTTCGTTCTTTAATCTTGTTATGGTTTTGAGTATGTGATTTAAAGTTGACCATTGGCTGTGTTGTTTATGAGTGGATTTTGTTTGCATGGGTTATCTAGGTGGGTTTTCTGTTAGAGTTTATTCGAGATAGATTTGGTTTTGGATTTTTGTGTAGTTTGTGGTCCATGTGGTTTTGGCCTTTTTGTTTGTTTAATGAAAAAATTGGTGGCAGAACTAAGATTGTGGGGTCTTAAGTTTGGGGTTTAAGGTATTTTTTGTCGGTGTATGGTTGTTGACCCCAACTGAATATTTTAAAGCTAGTGGGACTTCACTTTCTTATTGTATGTGGTCCTGTTGTTGCATATTTTTTTATTTTTCTGGTTCTCCATGTTTGTCTTTCCTTGTGGTCGATTAATTTATTGTTTGATAATATTTTCTTTATTGTTTAACAGTCATTTTTTAGAGCTTTCAGTTTAACCTTTTCTTTATTGTTTAATAGTTAAACAGTCTAACAGTCTTCATTTTTTAACAGTTTAATAGTCTTTCAATTTAACCTTTTCTTTATAGATTTTCATTTTAACAGTCTTCATTTTCTATAGATTTTCTTTATTGTTTAACCTGTATTTCAATTTTGTTGCCATATCCATTGCATATTATTGTTCAATCATAACAGTCATTTATTTTCTTAATTTTTCAGGATATTAAAGATGAACTTGGTGGACATAATGTTCCATCATGGTGGGGATTGGATCAGAGAACCCCATGTGTTATATTCAAAGAAGTTTGTTCACTCTTGGGAAGGTTATGACTCTGACCTTATTTCCTTTATTGATCTAGTAAATGAGCACACTAGGGAATTGATGTATGTTGGTGTTCAACAACTAATTGTAAATGGACCTTCTGGTAACTATTATGAAGTAGTGGATGATTCTGGGATAAGACATTTATTGTCTTTAATATCTGATGAGTTTAAGTGTCTTAACTTCTATGCAGTAGATGAATGTGAATTATCTGTGAATGTTCCTAATGTTGTCCATTATTCTGATTCACATCATCACTAACTGAAGTTGGTACAGATTGTAGTGTGAGAGTGAGAGTGAGAGTGACAATGATAGTGAAGGTGATGAGGTAGGGTATGATTATGAGGAATTACAAACAACTGCATGTCAAAAAAAATAGAGAAATTGATGTTGCACTGCAAAATTACAAGGAATTGTATAAGGGTATGAGCTTCAAGGACATACCTGAAGCAAGAAAATGTATTAACTTTGTCACACCTCCTTTTTTACACACCTACCCCGAAGGACAAATGTATAAGGGAGTTTTTCCATTTAAAGTGACATTATTCGAAATGAGATTATTTATTTACTTTTAGAGTCGCCACTTGGGAAAGGGTTGGCTTTTGGTGTCCCAAGTCACCGGTTTAACTTAAATCCCAAATCGAGGAAAATTTCGACTTCCCAATTGGAGTCTGCGAACCAGAAATTCTGTGTAAGGAATTCTGTTGACCCGAGGGAAGGTGTTAGGCACCCCCGGGTCCCGTGGTTCTAGCACGGTCGCTTAAATTATTATAAATGGCTAAAATCTGATTTTTTTTAATACATGTTCCAACCTATAGTGCATTCTTACAATTATTTATCGCTTTTAGTTAAATTTTACGAAAGACATTGAACGTCGTTTAAAACATGTTTTTGGATCACGTCACATGAAATGCACCCGGATCCGCGACACATTTTATTCAACGTTTTGGGATTTGGATTTGGGTCACATGAAATGCACACCCGAATTTAGGAAGATGAAATTATTAAAAGCGCGCCTAAAGCGACTAACGTCTTTTCAACTTTGTGGGAGGCCGTGGAATTCGCTAAACGGCACGCCCCAAATTCTAAGTATTTTTAATTAAGCAATTAATGAGGGCCCCGCAATTTGTGTGTTTTTGTTTGGCGAGGCTCATCTCACTTTATTATTTAAAGGCCAACCTAAAGCAAACTAAGATTTTCTATTTATTATTTGTCTCTAAAAGGGCCTAATTAATTGGCATTTATAAATTCGAGTCTCGAATTCAAGTCTGAATTCAAACAAAAGGTGGGACCCTCTTAGCTTGGGCCCGCTACCTAACTCGAGAACCTAGATTTATATTTACCAATTAATTCCCATATTCCTAAGGTAATTTTAAAGGGATTTTTGGTTTATGACAGCTTTTGGGCCTAAGAATTGGCCCAAACATGAAGTAATCAAGTCGCCTAAGCTGGGCAGTCTGTGTCCATGAAACAGCCAGGCTTTTGGCTCAAAATGAGCCCAGTTCCAAAATGGTGCAATAAAACGGGTGGGCCTTCAGCTGTAGCGTATGCTGGGCCTATATTGATGGTCCAAATGTTTACAACCAAACTAAGCTAATTAATCTAAAATTGTGACTAATGCTCAAGTTATGAATTAACACTTAATCTAAAATTGTGATAGGCCTTTAGACTCAAACCAATCCAGTATAGACTAAAACAGAAACTGAAAATCAATACATGAATTCGTGACTATTATAATGTTATTATTATATCCAGCAACACATTCGATATGGAATCCTAAGCATTTGTATTTCCTAATATTGTAGTTCAGGCTGATACTGCCTATGATATTGTAAAATTAACTGTGCTAAATGAGTATTATTGAATATCCTACTTGTATGAAGTGAAGAGAGTGGTCCAATAACTCCAATTAATAACAGTTCAACAGTCCCAATTATACACGTAGAATTAACTCATGACAAACTTAACATTTCATAGGCAGTCTTAGTTATACAGTCCACAATCTGTCCAATTTAATTACAAAACAAGTCTAAACAGCCCTAATTAACACACATAGCCCTATCTAATACCAATACACATTTGTTTAAATGAAACTACAGCCACATATGAACTAGTAATGAAAGCAAAAACAGATTTATATGGTTGAACTGCTTCATCGTTTGGATTTCACAAGTATTCATGTTCATTGAGTGAAACTTCGTGCCATTAGGGATTACAATTGTACCTGGAATTGTGCAAAATAAAAGGAAGGAGTCACAG